TTGGTGCTCCCACACTCTCAGTCTCTTCTCTCCTCTGTCCTCACATTCTCTCCCTTCTCTGCCCTCATGGTGCTGCCATATATACCCTCATGCCCGTCTGCCTGCCTAAGTCTAACCATCCGCCTCCCCTTACCCCTCCCCCAAGTAAACTTCCTTATACCAGATATGTTGCATGAGGCATAACCCTTATAACACTCACCCCTCCCCGTGTCCACACTGCCTTATCCTGCTCCTTCCATCTGCTTGCCCTGTTGCTGCTCTAAGCCACTGGTTCTCAAACTGAGACCCCTTTGGAAGTCAGTGGCCTTTCGCATGGATCACCTGAGACCTTCGGAAAACATTCACATTACAATTCGTGACAGCAAAGTTACAGTTAATGAAGTAGCAACTAAAATAATTTTATGGTTGGGGGTCACTGTTTGATTTCAGACATCCCTTGGTCCCTACCCGCTGCCGGGCGTGGCTGGTGTATCTTGCCTTCTACAGTGACCTCCCCAGCTCAGAGGCCCTTCACTATAGAATCCAGACATTGTGGTCCCTCTTTCTCCCTTCCTCTCCCTCTCCTCTAGCTCTCTTTCTGTGTCTCTCCTTCTCTTCACTGTCTCTCTCTGCCCATGCTTCTCCTTTCTCTCTCTCCCTCCCTCCCCTGCCACTTCCAGTAAACCTGCATTTATGTATATATAACTTTGTCTTGCCATTAGCTCATTCCGTTATTTCTGTCAGTCACCATTGAAATGATGATGCACAACAGATTTTATACGAAAGGTTTATTGGATGGAGAGAGGGAGCGAGACATGATGGGGGGCGGAGGGGAGGGGTGCCCGACAGAGAAAGGGGTGAGGGCAGGAGAGAGGAAGAGAGTGCCTTGAACTCACAGTGATCCACCTGCCACTGCCTCCTGAGTGCTGGTATTAAAGGCGTGCGCCACCACAGTTTTTTTTTTTTTTTTTTTATGCATATGAGTGTTCTATCTGCATTTACATCTACCAGAAGAGGGAATCAGTACACATTCTAGATGGTTGTGAGGCACCATGTGGTTGCTGGGAATTGAACTCAGGCCCTTTGGAAGAACAGACAGTGCTCTTAACCACTGAACCATCTCTCCAGCCCGCGCCACCACCGTTTTATATTTGTTTTTAATGAGAGTCCACACTGCAGCCCAAACTGGACTAGACAATAAACAGCCCAGGCTGGCATCGAACACGTCTGCCTCAGTTTCCTAGCGCTCAGACCACAGGCGTACGGAGCCACGCCCTCCTGCCTCCAGCTCGATTCCTGGAGGGCGCGGGTGCACGGCCGGCTCTCAACCCGGGGCATGCGCACTGCAGTGTCTTTCAGCCATCCTAGACGTGCAAAGGCAGGCGTTCTCCAAGTCTCTCACCCAGCTCCGGCCCGGCGCCCGCGCCTGCGCACACGCGCTCGCCCTGCCCCTTCCCTGAACGTGCCAGCCTACACGCAGCTCGCCTAGGTGCTGCGCGTGCTCGCGGGCTCCATGCGCGTGCCTGGAGCTCCGCCCCGCCCAGGAAGGCGCGCTCCCCGGCCTTCGGGTCCCGGTGACTCAGCATCTCCGGCCGCCCAGCGGCTTCGGGGCCGCTCGGCATCCTGTCGGCGTGCGCTCGGGGCTGGCCGCCTCCCGCCAGCGCGTTCCGCTCAGTCCCCTGCCGCAGCCCACAGGCGCCACGGTTACTCTTGCCCGGCGGGCTCCGATCCAGGCTCGGTCCGGCCGGTTACTCACCTTCACTGCGGAGCCGGAGGCTGGGAAGCGCTAGCAATGCTCAGGGCCTTTACCCGGGCAGCATTGGAGGGGATGTCGGCCTTAGCTGGACCTAAAAAGCTTGTCCCGGCTGTCAAATCCTCCAATGATCCGCCGCTCGGGCTAGGTCGTCTCGCCGAGGGCGCTTGGGACCGGCTTGAGCAGGCTCTCCTGCACTTCCTGGGCCAGGTTTATTACAGACTATGCGTGGTCCCTGGTGTGTGGGCATCATCCCAGGAAGGTTCCCTGACCCAGGGACCTGTCGCTCCTGACTGGGGTCTTTACTCTGCAGTGCTTGGCATAAAGCGCCCTGCCTCTTAGGATGGGAATGTACGTACGAACGCACATAGGCCGTCCTTGAACTCACAGCGTGGGCTCGGATGCCCACAACTCAGTCCTGGGATAGAAGGCGGCGCCACTACGTGTGGTCCCTATTAGATCTTAAAAGTTGTAAATGTGGAGATGCGTAGACAGGTGAAACCCCCTAAGATCTTTGGAAAGACTTGTGGTTGTACCCACTTGAGGCGGTGTAAACCTGCAACTCCAACACCAAGGAAGCCTTTCTGGCTTGGTTTGGTTCGGTTTTGGTTTTTCCAGACAGGGTTTCTCGGCGTAGCTCTGGCTGTTCTGGAACTCGCTCTGTCAACAGGCTGGCCTCGAATTTAGAGATCGGCCTGCATCTGCTCTGAAAGTACCACTCCTTGGCTGGGCTATATCTTAAAAAAAAAAAAAAAGCTGCAAACGACAACTCAGAGCATAAAATCAAGGGAACCCCTGCCCCTGTCATTCTGTTTCCCTTAAAACGGAAGCTCAGGGCAGAGGAGGTGGCTCAGCAATGAGATCGGTCAGTCGGTCCCCGAGTGCATCATCTATTATTCCTGGGAACGGGGAGGGAAAGGAGGGAAGGAAAGCCGCAGTGGCTGTCGTCAAAAGCACCTCCTGAAGGAAAGGAGTCTGGACACTGCTGGGCCAGAGTCTGAGGGCCTCCAGGGCATCGACAACTGAGACTGGCATATAAACACATAAAACTGGCATAACAAGAATTAGCTGAGGTTCAGCGTGGGAGTGATTTTTGTTCTGTGTGTGTATGTGTGTGTGTGTCTGCGGTTCACGCGGAGGCCAGAGGACACCCTTGAGAATTGTTCCTTAGAACTGTCCCCCGTTTTATATTTAATTACACTTATTTATCTGAAGGGGGCGGTGCCACAGCCTGACGTAGTCAAAGGCCAATTAATGGGAGTTAATTCTTTCCTTCTGTGATGTGCATTCCAGGGATCAAACTTAGGTTATCAGCCTTGGCAGCAAGTGCCTTTGACCATCGAGCTATCTTGCCAGCCCCATCTTGACCCCTCCCTTCCTTTTAGAGACTGGGTCACACTGTAGCCCTGGCTGTCCTGGAACTCACTCTGTAGACCAGGCTGGCCTGGAACTCGGAGATCCACCTGCCTCTGCCTCCCGAGTGCTGGGAGTAAAGGCATGCGCCAGTACCAGGCTTAGCCACCCCTTTTAAAATTATATATATATTAATTTTTTCAGCTTTTTTGAGGCGGGGTCCGTTGGTGAGACCTGGGGCTCGCCATTGAGGCCAGGTTGGCCTCTGAGGCCTATTATCTTCCTGATTCTGCCTCCCTAGCACTGAAATGCAAGAGGTCACCGTGAGCAGCTTTGTACCTGGGCTGTGGAGAGGAAATGTGCCCTCACACTTCTGAGGCACGTGGCCTACTTAACTCTTTTCTCAGCCCCTGTGGCTTCTTCAGACTGTTCTGCTGCTGACGCTGGCCTTGAACTCTCCATCTTCCTGCCTTTCCTTCCCGCGTGCTGGCCCACGTGCTAGATGCCCAGCACTGTTCTGAACACTTAGCAGGTCTGAGGAATGGCACGTGATCCCCCTACACACACACACACACACACACACACACACACACACACACACACACAC